GTAATAGTAATAGTAATAGGAATAGTTATAGTAATAGTAAGAGTTATAGTAATAGTAATAGTAATAGTAATAGTAATAGTAATAGTAATAGTAATAGTAATAGTAATAGTAATAGTAATAGTAATAGTAATAGTAATAGTAATAGTAATAGTAATAGTAGTAGAAGTCGTCGTCGTAGTAGCAACCAAAAAATGCAGTAGCAGGGGGAGAGGGTAAGTATTTGCGGTAGGGCTAGCAGAAGTGGCCGCCGCAGTTTTCGTTCCGTCGTTTTTGTTGCCAAGGTGCGGCTCAAAGTTCTATTTACGCCTCTGCATTAGAGGTGAGGCAAGATGGTTGGGATGTTCTAACTTTGTGTGTTCAGGGCGCAGCACTGATGTGCCTCCTACATGGTGGGCAGGCCCAGAGCTCGAAACCCAAATCCAACTGGTTCTTTCAAGAAGCGTCGCGACACCGCTACGGAAGGATGAGAGTGGCTACACCGCCGCACACTATGCTGCAAGGGCCGGCAAGTCGAAGGAGGAGAACAACACGGATCTGCACAGTTGAGGGTTTGCTTTTGCTTCGGTTTCGAGCTTCGGTGTGTGATCTCCCTGGTGAAGATGTGACGACATGGTGCGGCACAGGAAGAGTTCGCACGATCTCGTCACGATGGTAATCCACGCGACGGGTAAAGGGATGACAGAGCTAAACACTCGAAGATGGTTTCTGCATGACTTGCACAGCCAGACTATGGACGAAACAAGCGCATTTGCACTTGTAAGACCCATGCATGTCCTTCCTCGGACCGAGACGGTGCCGGGCAGCAACAGCAAGGTCTGAAGATGGTGCTCCTCCTCATCATCAGAATTCAACCTACCACCAGCAGCATTACCAACATCCTTCGCATCATCGCTGTTTTTACAACTTCACGATGCAAAGAAGCACAGCATTTCGTAGGTTGAGGTCTGTCCTGTAATCGGATTCAGGAATCTTTCTCGCGTTTGGGCATGTTCAGGCCGAATTTCGTGACCGGACCCTCCTCTACCCACTGGCCGATAATGATGAATGTCCGTCGAACGACATGTCCCGCGATGCATCACCTTTGCATAGCTCAGCAGCTAGGCTAAACTGAAACCCCAAACCCCAGACTTTGTCAAACATGGACGTAGCACACCACCATCCAGTCTAGCAGGACGGCGCGAAGCTGCTGGAGATTCTAAGGACTGATTTGCCCTGTTTGCAGATCCTTGACCCAAGAACTTCGGGCTCGAGGAAGCCTGCGCATGCCCGTTTTGTTAAAGTGAAACTGTAAGCCAGCAAGATTGAGCCAATGACACCGTAGACTGGTGGTCGCAGCCCAAAGCCTCCAACACCCAGGGAACCTCAATATACGGGCCAGTGTTGTGGGGTGCGCAGCTGCAGTGACTGCTGCATGTTGCATGTGTGAAGCAAGGTTCTCAGGCTCAGATGCATGCAAGCTCTGCATCCCGTGCATGTTCAAGCAGAGAGGACCGCTTCGGAAAGCAAGAAAGACTTTTGGCAAAGCAGCTCGGACGTCCTTTTACCAGAAGCCTGGACCTCGAATTTACGCGAAATGTAGCATTGATGTTTGTACAAGCACAACCGAGCTACTGGGAGTATGCCTACAAGAACCTCCTGTCACATGTGCATGTAGAACGTGAGTAGTGACGAATTATGGACATATTCAGCTCGTACAGTATGCAGACACACACGCACACATCTATATATATATATATATATACACACACATACATGCATATCCATGCATACATACATATAGGCATGCATATACATATACATACATATGCATATGCGCACATACATATATATACATGTACATGCGCCGCATACACACACACACACATACATGCAGACATACAGGCACACATACCTCCATACGTACATACGCACATACGTATATACACATACATACACATATACATACACATACATACACATACATACACATACATACATACGTACATCATACACGCACATATGAAGACATCTGTACATGTATTTATTTATATATAGGTATGTGTAGACATAAGCGAAACCGACCTTCCAGATTTGTAGACATGTTTGGATTTTGGTTCGCAGCTAACGATGCAGTGTCTACGATGCCTGAGACCACGGTGGAGGCATTCGTCAACCTGAATGTACTAGTAGGTAGACTTCTGCCGTTCAAACGCACTTGCGGCCACAAACCGGGATAAGGCCGGCAAGGGGACAGTGCGCAGCTTGCATATTCATTGCTGGTTGAGTCGCTGAGATAAGGCTATAAGGGCCCAGGGTTTCGGCATAGTCATGCCTTATGCTTGCAATTAAGGTTTGGGCTTTGGTAGCGGTAGCGTAAGGATGAGTGGCCTCGGAGGTGTGGACTTGCAAAAGCCCCGTGGCACAAGCAACGCCAAATACCTCTCTCGTCGCGGCGGCCACCACCGTATTCCCTTGGAGGCGGACACGGAGCAAGCTTGAACTCACTGAAGTCAAGAACTGAGACTCCAAGCTAGCCCTACAAGACGCGAAGCATCTGCTTAAGTTAAACAGGTGAGGCCACTGAGTCTGAGATGCAGGCTTTGCCCAACTGAAATTTCAACGACAATGCTTCACGAAAGCCAGGTTCGGACCCCCACCCCCGCTCCGAAGCAACATATCGATACCGATATGCTTATTGATGCAGGCATGCTCATCATCAAGTTGCCTCTGTTGTATAGCCGAAGGTAAGGTCAATAACGAAACGACTGGATGCATTACTGCACACTGCAGACTACAGCATTTGGCCACCTCCGTTGAGTTCTTTACTGCAGGCCGTAGGCATCCTTGCTCTGAACTTGCAGTTTGGAGTTCGAGAGCTTTAGGGTTTTCCGAGTCCTGGGTTTACAGTTTACAGCTGAAGGAGCCTTCCGGCACGAGGACCCACAAGAACTTTCGGGGACGAGGTGCTTGGACTCGTGACTACAGTAGTTCAATAGTACATTGGGGCAGAGGGTCGATAGGGTCCGAAACGAAGACAAGGGATGGTCTGCAGACACGTTCTCTGGTGCATCTCTTTATTCGGATCTTCCCTCGCTCATGCGAAGAGCTGTGAGGTTTCGGGCGTAAGCGGACAGGTCCAGAACAGGAAAGGGCCTTGGTGTAAGAAGCAAGGAGTTGGGTTCCTAGAAGTTCAGGACGCGTGGGCCGCGTGGCTGCCACCAGTCTCAAACCCTACTAGCCCCCTCTCTCGTGGCCTTCGCTTTCCCTTCCCCGCTTAAGATGGCCGGTGAGCAGCCCAAGAAGCCGATCGGGGGAGCCTATGGCATGTGGGTGGGAGAGCACCGGGCGGAGCTGCAGAAGGAGCTTGGGCCTGGGAAGCCGGCCTCTGAGGTGTCCAAGCTGGCCGGCAACCGCTACAAGACCCTCGGGGAGGACGTGAAGGCCGAGTACCAGAAGAAGTTTGAGGAAGCGAAGGCAAAGTACGAGGCCGACATGAAAGCCTTCCTCGATGCCGGCGGCGAGAAGAAGGGCACGAAGAGGAAGGCCGACAAAGCGTCCAAGCCCAAGAAGGACCCCGCAGCACCCAAGAAGCCAGCAGGTGGGGCTTTCGGCTGCTTCCTTGCCAAGAACCGGGCAGCTTTCACCAAGGAAGTCGCGGGCCAGCCCGTCACGGCCATCACGAAGCTGGCGTCCGAAAAGTGGAAGCAGCTCAGCGAAGACGAGAAGAAGGTCTACCAAGAGGAGTACGAGACAAAGAAGGCTGACTACGAAGAGGCCAAGAAGTCCTATGTGCCACTGCCCAGTGCTGACAAGGAGGAGACAGCAAAGCCTGCAACCGGGCTGCAAAGGCAGCACTCGGCCTTTTTGGGATTCAGCTGTTGTTACGTAGGCTTGCTTGGGAGGCTGAAGGCCGTGAGTCTTGTCGCCAGGGCCAGGGTCAGAGGCACTCATCGGCCCTTTTTGAGGTCCAGCAGTCATGTGAGATATCCTGGCAGTTCTGTAGAAGTTGTCGCTGAGGCTAATGGCTAGGGACTAGTGGTACATACCTTGACCTACTACAAGTTCTAGATTCTAGAATTGCTAGAACCGATTGTTTTGTAGGACCCTCCTAGAGAGGGTCCCGGTGTGTGTTTCCTAAGGTTGGGTCTGGGGTCCTTAGTAGGTTCTTCCGCCCTAGAAAACCCGAGTGCAAGCTTTATCGAAACTTTAGCGGGAACGCCAAGAATTGAGTTCTGGTAGGTTTATGAGGTCGACCTCAGCTTTGCAGAACATGGCTGCGCTGCCCTGCAGTGAGAAACTTAGGCCAAGAAGGCGCGGCTGTCCAAGGAGGAGAAGGAAGCGGCCAAGGCGACCGAGGATTTGTAACGACAGAAAGCTGAACTCTACCAAACACGTTCTAGCCTTAGAGTCTTAGAGTTCAGGGTATAGCGGTGCATCCTACTCTCTACTGTTGAAGCTGCAGCTGCAAGCGCCAAACCAGGAAAAGAAAGTCGCCGAGAAGAAGGCAAAGGCGGATGACAAGGCAGGTAAAGTCAAGGCCAAAGCCAAGGCATCACCGAAGAACAAGGCCAGGTGGGTTCGGACTTTAGGAGAGTCTACAGACTTCTACGGTTTAGGGTGTCTTTGTTTAGGGTCACTTCCTTTATCGTGTCTTGCCGGGTTTGCGTTGGGTTGTATGCATGCTTTGGGGTTAAAAGTGCCGAGGCTCTAGAATGTTGGTTTTACCGAGGCATGGATTTTGGGTTTTGGAGCCTTCCGGGTTTCGGGTCGGGGATCTAGGTGTTTCTGGGTTCGCCGAAGAATTAAAGTTTGGCCTTCTGGCCGTGCTGCCGTGCTCAGACACGGATCCAGTATGATTCTGGGCCGTGCGAAGACGGCCGCAGGAAAGCCTCATCATATGAGCTAGACCGGCTGGGTTTTAGCGCTGGGGATCTTTCGTAAGCAGCAAAACATTCTGCCGAGCAGACGTGCCAACTGTAAAATTTGTCAGAGGGATGTCGCGAGCAATGCATCGCAGAGATCAGTCTCAGAATCAACGCATACCTGGCTTCGAATCGCACGGGGCCTTTGTAACCCTAGCCCTGTTTCAACTTGACATCTCCCGCTCTTCACTGACCAGGCTGGCGCCCAGGGGCTGAGTATGAAGAAGTCCACTCCGGAGGCAGTGGAGAAAACGTAGAGACTAAGAATTGTGAGCAGAGCGAAGAGACGCCGACCTGGATGTTTTTGAACCTGCCCCTCCCGACGTACGCACCCCAAGCCCCGTCTTTTTAGTATTGGCTGCTTATCCTCGGAAGTGCCGTGGGTTCCAATGACAAAAATATTGCACCACCTCGATATCCATCATCTTCAACATTAAAAAGGGGGTAGCGGGATGTTGCGGGGTTGTGACTATGTGAGGTGTCGCTTGTCACTACGCAGGCGGTGCAAGATTTCCTCCATTAACCGGTACCACCCGAAGTGTCCTCTGTGCATGGCCTTTCAAGGACTTCATGAAATCGCTTGACTGGCTAGATAACACTAGCTGGGACCAGCATGGCGGCTATGCACCGGGCAATCCATGGAGCCCCGAAAACATGCAAAGACTAACTGCTGCTGCCATTTCATGAACTCAAAAACATGCAGAGGTTGCCAATTCCGGCAACTAACCAACTCATTTACTAGCTACTGGTATTTGTGAAACTAGCAGACGCAGTAACTGCCTACCTAAGTACCCAATAGGCAATCCAGCAAGCGAACTAGATCACCGAGTATTCTGTTGTTACTCGTTAGGTTTGTTCCGGAACTGTGAGCGCGAAGGACAGACCGAAGAGAAGCCCCAGAGCAATCCGGCATTTTACACATGGCCCCTTCATACTCATGATGTTTTGACCCACTGGGCTTTTTCAGCAGGGAGAAGCGATTCTATACCCCATGTCAAAGAACCACGGACCTCTCTTAGATTCTTAGATTGTCCGAAAGTTCTAGGACACGCGAAGCCCTGCACTTCTGTCCTGCACCCTAATGCCTGTCAACCCTGATCCTAATCCCAGACCTAAAAACCTTAACCTTAACCCTCTAGCCTGCGCCCTACTTGGAGGTTCATGGG